GGACCTCCCCTCACGTGCCGGCCAAGCGTGAGCGTGAGCTTCCCGTGTTCTCTTCATTCCCATTTGACCTTGACCGTGAGCTGGCGCCTCTCTGTCGGGCAGCGTGGTGGGCCTGGCTGGGCGTGCAGGCCCGCGGGCTCTGGGGCAGCGTGGTGGGCCTGGCTGGGCGCGCTGGCCCGCGGGCTCTGGGGCAGCCGTGTTCCACGTGCTGCTTCCTTGGGTGACAGCCCCACATCCCCAGGGTAGTGAATTTGGGCCTTTCTCCACCCTGGGTTGCCCCCCACCCCACCCGTATTCCATCCTGGGAATGTCCCTCCGACACGGTTTAATGCCAGTGCTGTTTACCAGCGTCAGGTACGGTGACCAAAGGAGAGGTCACCTTGTCCCAGGGTGGCTCAGGCTGGGTGAGGAGCAGTGGAAGGAGAGAGCCGGGGAGAGGCGTGTCCCCCAGAAGCCTTGGCACTCTGCACCGTGTGGGTGAGGCCCCTCTGGGGTGCGGGCCTGGGGGACACAGAGCTGAGCTGTCCTGCAGGAATCCGGGAGCTTCCTTGGCTGGGGGCTGTGTCCTCCAGCACGGGCTGAGGTTGCCCTGTTCCACCCGGCTGTGGCAGCCCCACAACACCCACTGCCCGGGCCTTGGTGTGCGCCCTGCCCACTGGGGGGCAGTGAAGAGCCCTGGCTGGGTCCCGAGGTTCCTGATCCCTCTCCCAGGTGTTCTGTGCCTCACCGCACACCATGCCACACCGGAGGTGTCGGTGAGCCTGGGCCACGAGCACAGGGAACCCCCAGACCCATCAGTGACCCGGTCCTGCCTGCTGCCCGTCAGGAGGAGGCTTGGAAGAACCTTCCCAGGCAAACCCAGGGTGGTGCTGCCCCCTGGTGGAGGAGCCTCGCAGTGGAGAGGCTGGGAGTGACCGTGCGCTTGGCCACCACAGGCTGCATCACCAAGCCCCCAGAAGGGTGCTCAGGGGTCCAGTGGGAGGCTGGGAGGGGGCCTGGCCAGGGGAGAGTAGGAGTGACCTCCTCCAGCAGGGGAGCAGGGGACAGGGCAGTCAGCTAGAGGCACAGAGCCCGGGGCCTCAGACCCACAGCACCAGCAGTGAGCTGGAGTTTGTGTGAGTGTGTGAGTGTGTGAGTGTGAGTGTGTGTGTGTGTGTGTGTGTAAGTGTGTGTGAGAATGTGTGTGTGTGAGAATGTGTGAGTGAGAGTGTGTGTGAAAGAGTATTTGAGTGCGAGTGTGAGTGTGTATGTGAGAATATGTGTACGTGTGCTTGTGTGTGTGCATGTATGCACACACGTGTTGGTTTCTGTGTCATGGATGGGTGTGTTGTGTTGGTATTTGTATGTGTTTTGGGGGCTGTGGGTATGTGTTGGTTCCTGGGTGTGTTTGTGGGTACTTCTGTGTGCTGTGTGTCTCTGTGTGCTTGTGTCTCTGTGTGCTTGTGTGTCTCTGTGTGTGTAGGTTTCTTTTGTGTGTGTGTGTGTGTGTGTGGCAGGGTGAGAGCAGGGAGGAGCATTTACAGGCAGGACAGAGCCCAAGACTGAGGCTAAGGCCAGCCTCTCCCTGGGTCATGGAGGCTGGAGCCTTCGGGGGGAGGGGTGCTGGTGGTCGAGTGGGGTGAAGGTGACTGGGTACAGGGGACTCGGGTGAGCCAGTGCAGGGGCTGCTAATATGTGGGTGAGGAAGGGTGGTGGCCATTGGGACACAGGGACTCCTGCTCTGGAGGCTGCAGGTTAACCTCGACCGACAGGCGGTGCAGGCAGCACGGACAGGGAGCCCCTCCTGGTCTTGGGAGCAGGTGCTGGCCCTGGTGCCCACACTGGGCACAGGAGGTGGGGGCTTGGGGTGGCCCGGGAGTTGGGCTTGGGTGTCACCAGCGGGCGACTGAGTCTTGAGTTACTCACTTGGAGGCTGGTGTTAGGACATCAGGTCTGCGATGGCCTGGAGTAGAGTCATGGTCAGCACATCCTCTGTGTGCCTGCTTCCTTACAGGCTCTGCGCTACCTGCTCACGCCAGAGCTTGTTCCAGTTCTTACTTTAATCTTGTAAATGTTCAGTATCATCATGGTCTCCCATCGCCATTGTTCTCATTATCTCTACTGTTACCATCACGAAAATCGTCACCATCCTCACCACCATCACTATCAGGTCACCACCATCACCATCACCATCATCACCATCACCATCACCATCA